AAAAGCCGGACTGTCGGGGGTCGAGAAGGCTCGGATCAGTGAGGTGGTAGCTCAGAAGGTTGGCCGATGCAGCATGGTCCAACTGGACATTGCCTGGCTCTCGGCCTCACCAATCAGTGTTCAGTTTTCCGCTGGCTCCTGTCTTTATATTGGAGAATGATGAAGAAAAAAAGGAGACTTCAGCTCTTCCAATATTTATTTGACTATAAATCAAAAAAAAAAAGAAGCAACGTAAGGTATCTTATCTTCTCAAATCCCCAACCCAGGAGGCATCATCAACATCAGGTGGACCTCCATTCATCTCCTATCGTGCCCCTTGTTCAATCTCTTACAGCCCATGTATAGCAGAGCTTAGACTGGCAGAGCTATGTAAACCTCAGGACTGGATGGACACAAACCCCCCGACTAAAAAAAAAAAATGTGAACCCTAACCCGCATTCCGCCGTGTCCTCATGCACCTCATAGAAAGGTCGTATGGTGTAATATTTCCTACACTTTGTATCATGTTCTTCCTTTATTATTTGATATGCAGTTCTGGGTAATACAATTGTTCACTATAAAAGGAAACATGATAATAACGACCCCCCAGAGTGCTGTACACAAGGCCTAACAAGCAATCCTTCCATAGACGCAGCATTCTGGAAGACCCCCATGCACCCCTCCCCAGCATCAGCTGGCCTGTGATGTTACACGTGACTTTGGTATCAAACATATCCGGCTTTTCTCGTGTTTAACAAGATGTTCCTTCCGTATGAAACGTTTCCCGCACAGTAAACAGGAAAAAGGACGTTCCCCCGTGTGGATTCTCTGATGTGTAACCAGATGCCCTTTCACGGTAAAACCTCTCCCGCACTCTGAACAGCAATAAGGACGTGACCCCACATGACTTCTCTGGTGTGCAATAAGTACTCCTCTCTGAGTGAAACATTTCCCACACTCTAGACAGGAAAAAGGTCGCTCTCCAGTGTGACTTCTCTGGTGTGTAGCGAGTTCATCTTTCTGAAAGAAACACTTCCCGCACTCTGGGCAGGAAAATGGACGATCAGCCGAGTGTCTTTTCTGGTGTCTCAGCAGGTGGCCTTTCTCTACAAAACATTTACCGCACTCCGTACAGGGAAACGGACGCTCGCCGGTGTGCCTTCTCTGGTGCGCCGTAAGCGCTCCTTTCTGAGCAAAACCTTTGCCGCACTCTGCACACGGAAAAAGACAATCGTCCGCGTGAGTTCCTTGGAGGGTAAGAAGGTCTCTTTTCTGGGCAATATTCTTCAAGCACTGCGAATATGAAAACGGAGGCTGGCCTATTTGTACTCTATCGAAGGTAAGAAAGTCGGATTTCCCGAAAAAAGATCTATCACCATTCGAATAGGAATAAGGACGCTCTGCGGTGTGACTTGTCAGATGTCTAAGGAGTTCTCCCATCTGAGTGAAACATTTCCCGCACTCTGAACAAGGAAATGGAAGCTCCAGCCTGTGTCTCCTTTCATCGAAGGCGAGAGAGGGGTTTGATAGGAAAAACTTATCGGCCTCGTACAATGGGAACGTCTTCTCCGCTCTTTGTGTAACCGAATCCCAGTTATTAGAAGATCCCTGGACAGGAGATCGGTCACAGGGTCCATCGGTGCCGAGAAGTCTTGGAGGGATTTTTTGGGGAAGAGAATAAGGCTCATCCACAGAATCTCGGGGATTGAGGGAATTTGCAGTTCTGTTTTGCTGGTAAAGTCCGGGATGTGAATTTTGAGTGACGCGCTTTACGGCTGAAGAACTTTGTACGAAGTCATTATAGAGAGGAGGGAACATCGAATACGACCCGGCATCTGTGAGGAAGAAATATTTTATCAATTAAAGATTTTCAATCAAATTATCTATGATGGCTTCACAAAACTCCGACATGGATCCAAACAGAAAATGACACAAATCTTATAAGTCCACCCCGCCGAGCATAAGACGCCGCCCAACTCCTCCTCATTGGTTGGTCACATGACGTTATATTGGGGAATGGAGATAGACCTTCATATGGTGTACAGTATCTCCTCCTCATTGGTTGGTCACATGACGTTATATTGGGGAATGGAGATAGACCTTCATATGGTGTACAGTATCTCCTCCTCATTGGTTGGTCACATGACGTTATATTGGGGAATGGAGATAGACCTTCATATGGTGTACAGTATCTCCTCCTCATTGGTTGGTCACATGACGTTATATTGGGGAATGGAGATAGACCTTCATATGGTGTACAGTATCTCCTCCTCATTGGTTGGTCACATGACGTTATATTGGGGAATGGAGATAGACCTTCATATGGTGTACAGTATCTCCTCCTCATTGGTTGGTCACATGACGTTATATTGGGGAATGGAGATAGACCTTCATATGGTGTACAGTATCTCCTCCTCATTGGTTGGTCACATGACGTTATATTGGGGAATGGAGATAGACCTTCATATGGTGTACAGTATCTCCTCCTCATTGGTTGGTCACATGACGTTATATTGGGGAATGGAGATAGACCTTCATATGGTGTACAGTATCTCCTCCTCATTGGTTGGTCACATGACGTTATATTGGGGAATGGAGATAGACCTTCATATGGTGTACAGTATCTCCTCCTCATTGGTTGGTCACATGACGTTATATTGGGGAATGGAGATAGACCTTCATATGGTGTACAGTATCTCCTCCTCATTGGTTGGTCACATGACGTTATATTGGGGAATGGAGATAGACCTTCATATGGTGTACAGTATCTCCTCCTCATTGGTTGGTCACATGACGTTATATTGGGGAATGGAGATAGACCTTCATATGGTGTACAGTATCTCCTCCTCATTGGTTGGTCACATGACGTTATATTGGGGAATGGAGATAGACCTTCATATGGTGTACAGTATCTCCTCCTCATTGGTTGGTCACATGACGTTATATTGGGGAATGGAGATAGACCTTCATATGGTGTACAGTATCTCCTCCTCATTGGTTGGTCACATGACGTTATATTGGGGAATGGAGATAGACCTTCATATGGTGTACAGTATCTCCTCCTCATTGGTTGGTCACATGACGTTATATTGGGGAATGGAGATAGACCTTCATATGGTGTACAGTATCTCCTCCTCATTGGTTGGTCACATGACGTTATATTGGGGAATGGAGATAGACCTTCATATGGTGTACAGTATCTCCTCCTCATTGGTTGGTCACATGACGTTATATTGGGGAATGGAGATAGACCTTCATATGGTGTACAGTATCTCCTCCTCATTGGTTGGTCACATGACGTTATATTGGGGAATGGAGATAGACCTTCATATGGTGTACAGTATCTCCTCCTCATTGGTTGGTCACATGACGTTATATTGGGGAATGGAGATAGACCTTCATATGGTGTACAGTATCTCCTCCTCATTGGTTGGTCACATGACGTTATATTGGGGAATGGAGATAGACCTTCATATGGTGTACAGTATCTCCTCCTCATTGGTTGGTCACATGACGTTATATTGGGGAATGGAGATAGACCTTCATATGGTGTACAGTATCTCCTCCTCATTGGTTGGTCACATGACGTTATATTGGGGAATGGAGATAGACCTTCATATGGTGTACAGTATCTCCTCCTCATTGGTTGGTCACATGACGTTATATTGGGGAATGGAGATAGACCTTCATATGGTGTACAGTATCTCCTCCTCATTTGTTGGCCACATGACGTTATATTGACATTGTTACTCACCGGAGTCATTATCTAGAGAAGATTCCTCCTCTTTTAATTCCACCGCCATTCCAACTTCCACCTTAGACAGCTGATCATCGCTCGTATACGTCTCTTCTACTTCCTTTTTCACCTCGACTTTCATATCACTCGGGTCATCGGCCTGAAACATTGAAAAGGAAGTCTTCAATATACGAGCGATACAAAGCGTAGAGTGGACTTCCTATTCATCAATGAAACATTGTCCGGTAGACTCGCATAAGAGATTTCTGAAGACCTGGCAACCTTGGATAGATTATGGCCAACCCTCGCTCCCTCTGGAGAGTTTGTCGTTCCTCTAGGACTCCGCCCCCCCACCCCATCTTCGCAGGGCTGTATGAAGTTCAAGTTAAATGTTTCGTTTTCGAGCGCGTTCCTTTGTGTTTCCTATATGGTTCCTACATCTTCTTATGGACCTTCTCTACATGATACTATGTTTAATAAAAACCTATGATACCAAAATATGAATGTGACTAACTAGAGACTACAATGAAGGAAAAGTCTTATACAGGTGAGAATCAATCTTCCGTTCCAGATGCCGAGTCCCACCGACCTGATCATGGTGGGGGGCGGTGAGATCTTCCTGGGTGGAGTCCCGGGAATACAGAGGGCGGGGACATCTCTCTGGTGGGTTCCTCTTACTGGATCCATCTGTAGGAAACACACACACTGACTGAATACATTGTTTCTATGCGTGTATCAGATGATGGGGGATGTAGGCGGAGCCTCCGTACTGCTCTCTCCTCTTACCCGGTGATGTGAGGGGCGGGGCATTCTCCATCACCACGTCCTTGTAGAGATCCCGGTGTCCTTCTAGATACTCCCACTCCTCCATGGAGAAATAGACAGAGACATCCTGACACCTTATAGGAACCTGACACACACAATGATACCGTCACCACCCAGACACACCCCTCGTCTGTTCCCGGATCATGTCCCAGAATTCCCGGCACCGCTCACCTCTCCCGTCACCACCCAGACACACCCCTCGTCTGTTCCCGGATCATGTCCCAGAATTCCCGGCACCGCTCACCTCTCCCGTCACCACCCAGACACGCCCCTTGTCTGTTCCTGGATCATGTCCCAGAATTCCCGGCACCGCTCACCTCTCCCGTCAGCAGCTCCATCATCTTCTTGGTGACTTCTAGAATCTTCTTCTCATTGTTTCTCTTACGTGTCAGTGAGTGAAGTGAAGGAACTGTGATGGTTACATTGCCACCAGACTTCACCGGAGGACAATTCTGCAAAGAAAAAGCAATAGTGAGGTCACATGTCACCCCCAGAATCCTCCTCACCCCTCCGGTCAGGTCTGTGTGTTATGAATAGAGATCAGAGTGATGTCATGTGACCTCCCAGAATCCTCCTCACCTCTCCGGTCAGCAGGTAGATGATCTCCAGGGTGAGGTCCAGTATCCTCTCAGCCACGTGACTCCGGTCCTCCTCCATCCTCACCGATGTGGTCATGTGATCTATAGAGGCGTGTCCTCTCTATAGAGTAATAATAAACGTAGAATGATCTGGACTGTATTGGGTTCTCGGTGTGGTACAGATCAGCTTCTCATACACTGTAATATATATATATATATATATATATATATATATACAGAAACGTGAACTGTCTGTGTTGCCCGCTTTGCCGCTTCGGGTTGAACTCTACGGTGGCGCACAATTTACGTCAACGCCGCATTAGGAAAAATTTATTTTTTCACCTTTTTCTTACTATTTATTACCAATGAAAAGGAAAGGAAGTAAATATATATTCATCCGCATCTGCTACCAAGATTAACGTTCTTTTTATAGGTGACTAAAATCTTCCCCATCAGGGGAAAAAAGGACAGGGAACTCAAATGGTTCACAGAAGGGGGGGATGGGGGGGGAAACCACAGAAATGTCCTGTAAATAAATGTATCCTTAAATTAATGATTACACTTCATACTATTCACAGTGACTATGGAGGACGAGGATGGACATGATAGGAGGGGTTACTGGGTGTAAATATAAAATAATATCTTATTACCTCCTCAGCTCCAAGTTCCAGCAATGTCTTCTCTCTGCACACCCAGGATTTCCTGTTTATGTGTGACATCACTTCCTGTCTGTGCATCTCAGTTGCAATAGAAGAGATGTCCACCTTGTGGTTTGAACAGGTACTGCGGTGTCGTATTATTCTATGTGGCGGCCTCAATGGCTTGTGCTGGTTGTTACCAATCCTTCCACCGACTCCCGTCCCTCTCTGCGCCAATC